GTCAGCTGGCTGGTGGGCGTGGGGGGGGGGGGGGGGGGGGGGCGAGGCAGCAGGCCCTTGGCTTTTGGAAGAGAAGCTGGGCTTGCTTGCTTTGAAGATAGTGGGGATAGGTGGTGGGGCCTGCTGTCTCTGCACATGCAGTAGCATGGACGGTGCATACACAGTCCAAGTCACAAGCTTTGAGAGCAAGGTAGAAGAGTCAGACTTGGGGCGCGGGAGCCCCGAGACTTGCACTTGGGCTTGGGACTCGAGCCCAAAGACTTACCAGCATCCCTGGCATTTATTAGAGACAGGAAAAATAATCAGAATCCTTGTTCTAGCTAACTAGGGTGGAAATGCAGGGAGCAAGGATTGCACCCTCAGCTCAGTGGGTTGGAATGACTGGCCGTAGAGTCAAGGGATGGAAATTCAAATTCCCATTGTGCCTCCTGAGGAGAGGTGAGAGGAGTTATTTATTTATTTATTTGTTTGTTTGTTTGTTTGTTTGTTTATTTATTTATTTATTTATTTGAATTTTACCCCTCCCCTCTAGACCAGTGGTTCTTAACCTTTTTGAAAGAAACGCCCCCTTGAGCCATTGAGGAAGTTATCATTGCCCCCCTCCCTGAGGTGATGATATCTTTATTTATTCATTTATTTATTTATTTTAAGACACTTAAATCCAATGACCCCTGAAAACACAATTAAATTCCAAGAAAATGAAATGCCCCCCAAAAAGTAACATTTAATGATTTAATTGCAAGTGAATTTTAAGACGAAAAAAGAAATATAAAAGGGTATAAAACAAACTGCAATGCAGGAACTAAAAATTTCAAGACAAAAACTCTGAAACTACATTAAGATTGGACAAAAATATATATTCATGCACACTGTAAAAAGGCTGCAGCCATCTTAACAGGTTTGGCTTGCTCCAGAGCCCCCCTACCGCCCCCTTTCTGCTCCATTGCCCCCACGCCGCCCCTTTTCGTTCTACCGCCCCCATGAAAAATGAAATCGCCCCCTGGGGGGCATTATCGCCCACGTTAAGAACCACTGCTCTAGACCATGTCTACTCAGGGCGGCTTACAAAATAAAAAAACAGTATAAAAATATATAAAATCATAAAGTTTTCTTTTATGTAATTTTGTTGTTTTTATTGTTGCATCCCTCGTTGTAAGCCGCCTAGAGTGGTCTATCGACTAGATAGGCGGGATATAAATAAAATAAATAAATAAATAAATAAAATAAGTTACAATTACAACTTCAATTTAAAACAATTAATTTAAAGAGAGGATTACCAAGATGGAATAGGAAAGAAAAGAAAAAAGGAGTTACTTGCCTTTCCATATGCGTGGCCTTGGGCAGGCTGCACAGTTCCAGAGTACTGTCAGAAGGAAGGGCTGGCAAACTACTTTGGAGTACTTTACATCTAGAAAATCCTGCAAATATTACTGTTGGTTGATAGTACATTATTATTATTACACGCCTTTTTATACAGCCTCTGATCAAGGTGCATTGCAGAATTTGGAAAAGAGTGAAAATAGAAGGGTAATATGTGTTCTATTTCACACATTACTTCATGAAGTAAGAATTAGTTGGGTTCAGATTGGTTCATAAACCAGTCTCTTGTGCACATTGACATAAAGAAAAAAATGGGTGGAACATCAAGATTGCTAAAGAAACTGGAGCAGAGAGGAAGAGGCTGTAAGTGGTACTAGTGAACATTGGTGCAGCTTTCCATCATGACAGATACCATTTCAAAATAAACATTTTAACCATATGGTAAATGTATGTTACATCTTAGCATTTTCAGAAAATGTTTTTGAGGTGCAGTGGGAAGGGGAAATAGCCCCCTTTTGCTTCCACTGGATTCCAGTATTCTCCCAGTAGAAGCCCAGTGTTTCATTCTGCCCCAAATTATTTGTGTTAAATGTTTATCCTGAAATATTCAGTAAAATAAATGGCAGCTATAGAAATGGTGATATCTCACATGATTGTAGTGAGAAATTTAATCAAAATAGCCATATAAAAATAAGTGCTATAAATAAAATGCTATGAATTTTCTATCATCCACTCAAATATAAATGAGAATACATATTTTTACACCTTTTACATAAAATATACAGAATACATATTGTTACACCTTTTACATAAATTTGGATTAAATATCTTTATTCTTTATTATAAAAATTTCAATATCACATTTAAGCAAAAGTAAAGAACTCCAACACATAGATAATTTGCATAGCCACCACTGACTGAAATCTGTGATGCAGTTGTACAAAAGGCGTAACCTTTGGAAGCAAATTGCTGTAAATTACGAAATCTCCATATCTACTTCAGAATGATTCATGTGACTTGGCATGTGATGGATAACGTTTACAGAGATTTGTTAACTTTACATCAATTTGTTTCCAAAAGTTATATCATTGCGTAACTGTGCAACAGAGTTTATGGCCACTAAATGAGACACCTCAGAGTTCTTGGCAGCACCAGAAGTCTATGTGGAATTGGGAAGCGTTTGGGTGAATACTAATTGCTATTTATCCAAATTACCAGGCAAAGTTGGTTGCAGGGTGCTGTCATTAAATCTGTGTGGGTCAAATAGAGTGGTGGTGGAGACATTACTTTTGACCTGAGGTTCATATGCATTTAAGTCTTATTTCATGAAATGAGAAGAACTGAGAGAGAGAAAAGAAATCTAAGAGGGCAAAATGATGTAGATGGGAGAAATAAAGGAGGTAGATAGGGGGGGAAATGGCTAAGTCTGCTTTTGCTTCTGGCTCCACTCTCTTTCGCTCTATCCCTCAACCATTGCTGGCATGAGAGGTCTGGTATCTTTCCCTGAGGAGATGCTGCTTCAGCAGAAAAGAAAGCTACCCTCTGAAACGGAGCACTGAACAGAGGGCATGTATTACTAGGTGCAGGTGTTTGGCTTAAAAAAAAAAGAACCCTAGGATGACAATAGACACACAAAAGGAGCAACCTGACGACAGGACTTAGCTATACTGTAGTTCTAACTCTGGGTATGCTGAAAATTATGCCTAGTCAAGTTATGCCTAGTTTTTGTTTTGTTTTGTTTTGTTTTTGGATAGGAAAGTATTTGTGGGGCATTTAAGTTGCCTTCAATGTTTTTTGCCTTCACCCTTGTGTGGAAACTTCCAGATTGATAAGTCACTACACATGTTTCTCCTACATATACAGTAGTCAGTTTTAAGAGGGAGAAGGGTACCTTTCATGTTTGACATTAAGTGAAGTCTCAAGATCTAGATAGGCTTGTCCAATCTGCGGCCCGAGGGCCACATCCGGCCCAGGTCAGCTCATAATGCGGCCCAGTGCAATTTTTTATTTTTAAAGAAATTCCAAAGTTTCAAGTTACACTGCCGGAAGGAAGGAAGGAGTGGGAGGGGAGGGGAGAGGGGGGCTTTGTGACTGCATTGCACCGCCCTGTCAATAGGTGGACCCCCTCCAAGCCCCATAAAGCCACCGGAGTCGAAGCTGGCAGCCTCTGCTGTCTGAGATCTCAGCTGCTGGTAAGCGCGCTTGGAGCGGGGCTGCAGAGGATGGCTAGGGCTGCCCCCTCCATGCGGCCCTGTGGCCCAAACCAAATTTTCGTCTTCTAATGTGGCCCAGGGAAGGTGAAAGGTTGGACACCCCTGATCTAGATGGTGGAGAAAGAGGTCCTAGATCAGTGATGGTGAAGCTATGGCACATGTGCCATAAGCAGCCGGATCACTCTTTCCGCCCCCCTGCAGCCAATCCTGAGGCGGCAGCTGCTGAGGTCGCAATGCTGGTGCTTTGACAGGGCAGTGAGCCAGGATTTGGAGCAGCTGGTGCTGGCTGCGGATCTGGAGTGGTGTCTCGAGGCATCTCCGTGCCTGGGATTCCCCCTTCCTCTGTAACTTCCAGTTCTGCCGCTGGCGGCCACCCGCTGGTTTTTTCCCCCCCAGTTTGGGCACTCGAGCTGAAAAAGGTTTGCCATCACTGTCCTAGACTATAAGAATATTAGCATTAAGAATGTGACCAGTGAGGGGCAAAGAGCTAAGGCCAAGTGGTGGCAAGGGGAATCCCATCCAACCAACCAATTTCCTAATATCATGATTTGTATAATCTTGGAAACCAGCATCAGGTTGAGGATTCAATATTGCTTGAGTGCCATTTTATTTGGCCTGAACTTGAGATATTTTATAGGGGGTGCTGGGCCCATTTACCTGTAACTTTTCTGGCCACCGATACATGGAATAATATAACACAGAGCAGATGTGTCTCATTTTCTTGTTTTTTCTCCCATCATTTGTTGCCCAATCCATGCACCAATCTACCAAGATAATACTGTATATCTGGGATTTTCTGAATGTTTAGAGGAAGGATTACATATATACAATCTATTATTATTTTTATTTATCCCCCAAGGCTCAGGATTATAATAATTTTTCCAGCTTTTCCCTTCCCAATTTGAAATGCAATCCAACACAGAACTTTGAAGTCATTGAAAGTGAAATAAGTATGAGTAAGGCTACACATTTGCCTGAAAGTAAGCCCAACAGAACATAGTGGGTCTTTGTTTAGAGTTCTGGATTGTGCCCCAAAAGGGTATGCAAAATCACTTCCAATATGAACACCCACCTGGGCAGCAGGAAATCAAGAAATGATACAGAATTGGTGCAGGTGATAATATGAGGTTTGGAACTGTGTTTCTGGCTTTGAGTGATGATTGTTTTGCTCTTGTGCTATTCCTTCTAATACAGTTGAACAAAGACTACCTTGAGGACATCGGCACAGCTGGTATCTGGGTTGTGGGTGTCAAACATGACAACTTAGAATATCAGTCGTTCACAAAATAATTACAAGTGCTAGAGAAATATTACTTCTATTAATGCCTTCATTTGGGTGTTTTTGTTCATCTGGAATTATCCCATGGTGAGACCAAAACAGTTTTTGTTTTTATTTATGAACATTTGGAGAGCTTAGTCCACATTTCAGCTTCTCACTGTACTCTTGAAAACATGCAGTAAGGCAGATTATTTCTTAAGTACTTTTTTCCGTTCCACTGCTATATGCAAGGCCTTTAGGATCAGATGTTGGTTGTTCAGAATATTGTATTCACTCAGGTCCACTAGTTGATCGAACTCTTCTTTGCTGAACGTCAGGGAATATGTAGAATAAGGGCTACAATTACTGGAGAAATCAACATCACCATATTTCATTTCGGATTCAGAACGTTTTACACCTGAGAAAACATTGCAGTAAAGAGTTGCTATAAGAATCAATTTTATACACATCAGAAAGAACAGAAACGTACACATACAATGTTATGGTTTAACTGAAGACTTTTTTAAAAAGCTGACATTCTCCATTCTTATGGCTGACTGCCTTTGCTAATGTTACTGTTATTCAATTTTAATGCAATAGCACCAGATTGTCAGAGCACTTCATGTGCCTTCCAAGGGACATGTAGCTGTTGGCCCAGTGTGAGTGAGTAGGTAGCAGGTAAAATCTTTGTTCCAGGATTATAGTACAATACTTCAAAGGTGTTCTGACAGCAGTAGGCTCGGAATAGGCAGAAACCACTCATGCAGAAAAAATACCCTTGTTCCAACAAAATCCCTTGTGCTACCTCATCTCAAGATCTTCTGGCAAAGAAATCTGCCCACACAATTGCTGTGTTGACAAAGGTCCAAGTTAGAACCCCATTAGTCTAGTTCTACCTAACAACTTTATAGAAACCAAATATGTCATAAGAGATACTGAGATCTCAATTATATTCCATGCATGTTTCACATCTCTAACAGGAAGAAAACAATGCATATTGACTGCATACCAGGTGCTTTGTAATAGCGAAAGGTATCATTCACTTGTGGAAAAAACAGTAATACTGGTGCTTCCAGATTCTCTGCATCTTCAAATAAATAGCATTCCTTTAAATGTTCATCATCTTCATGCAGCACAGCTTTGGGAAATGGGATTCCTTGTTCGGCATAATATTTGCACGATTGCTTCAGAGGCTAGATGAGAGGGAAAGAGAATGGTAAATATGAGATAAGGTTGCCAGACACTTTGAGTGGGTCATCTTGAAGTAAAGAAGAAAAGAAAACTCTACATTAACATAGAATCTTTGTAGGAAAGCATGGTTAAAAGAGATAAGGCAAAAAAACCACACATCTCACCAATGATTGTGATCCTGCACTATAATTTAAATGGATGATGACATCCACCTTCCTCTCTGGTCTCAGCAGAGGTGTTGCGCTAGTATTTATAAAGAATCCAGTATCTTCTAGAGACAAGTATTCTTCTGTTTGGGTCAGCTTATTGGGTGAAGATGAGTCAAGTACAGTGTCTAAAAGGCAAGACATGGTTGCAAGAGAAATGGAGTTAAGTCCCAGTTCTCAGAGCCATCCTGCGTCTGATGGCTTTAAACTCCTTTGTCTGGCAGCTGATTTTACATTGCAGTTGAATAGTTTATTTGCCACCAAACATTATTCCCCCCTCCCCCACCAAGGGGATTAACAGCAGATGGTAAAGACTAGAGATGGGCACAAACCTTGATTTGGAGGTTTGTGTTGATTTGTACACGGGCCACCACAGATGCCACATGTTGCTTTCCCCTGCATCCCTGAGGCGTGCTCCTCTCCTCTTTGGCCGTCCCCGGCAGGAGCATGTAGAGCATGTGTCCTTGGCTGAGAGGTGGGATAGGGAAGCCCATGCTCTTGCTGGCAACTGGTTGAACAGCCAAAGAGGAGGAAGATAGGAGAGCACACTGGCTAGTTGCATTTCATAGGGTTTATTCTGAGGATGGATCATTCAGTCCATGGCCAGCCTCCTTTACTTTTGCTTGTGTTCTTCATTTTATTTCCTCATTAAACTGTGATTTAAAAATAAATGAACAAAAATTGCATTTATGTCTGTACAGTATATTTATTTCTGAATGTGTTTGCACATTAAACAGCTATTGGCCAATTGATTTTGATACCTTTTTGAGCTGCAACCATAATAAACCTCAATTAATTATCAGCCACTTCTAACACATTAGTTTAATCCTACATAGCTAAAGGAAAATTCTGCAGCATTATCCAACAACCACACAGTCCAGTGATGTGCCCATGAACTGGACATTTCAACATAAAGGTGAAGTGAAGAATGGTGGTTGCTGTCTAAGCACCTTTCACTGCCTATTCCAACATTAAAACATTCATTTGAGCAACAAATGAAAATACCTTTCCATCTGCAGAATGTCTCATTCTTCAAATAGTTATTGTCCAGCTGAAGACCTCTGATAAAATTGTGATACTGGGCAACAGATAGGCGATCAGTAAGCACATCTCTAAGAGCACTGGAGAAAGGTCCTCCAGGTGTGTACAAATGTGTCTTTTGCTCATGTGGTCTAGTGGGTAAACAAGGCGTTTCATCTACAAAAGAAAAGGAGGCACAGTTAAATGTTTTACTGTATAGGCATTGAACAGGGTGGGCTGCCTCCAGAAAGCTGTGAGCCACACATATGCATCTTTCTCATCTCTCAAATTATTTTCTTTCAAAGAAACCTCTATAGCAGTCAATTTCTTTAAAAATCCATTTTGGAGGTGTGTGGGGAGGCAGGAGTGCTAGCCGCCCCCAATCCTGCCAAAATTGCCTACCATGTCCCCTAGCAGTTAAAAGGGAGGTTGAGCCCCAAACACATTTTTAAAAATAGAGAAAATAGAGAGGGCTGGGAAGCCCCAGATCAATTGGGAGGGTGTTCTGTGGCTGTGGGTTGCCATTCGTCCACCACTGAGCTACTGGTTGTTTATACTGAGTACATGATTACAAACTACAGCCCCTTGGAAAAAAAGTATGTTTGATGAAAATGCTAACTTACTTACCAAGAGCAGGGTTTTTTAAAATCCCCTTGCAAAATTTCTAATTGATCATTTAAACTCTCCGATAAATGGATAAATAAAGATTATTTATTTATAACTCCTTAACAGGGCCCAAGGTGGCTTACTATATTAAAACAAAGAATATAAAACTTGAAAGAGGGGCAGTCAATTAAAGATAAAATTTAAATAAGGAATAAATAAATCTGAAACATCTGTACATGTTTTTTATGAAAACTGAAGTTCCTTTACATGTGGCAGAGTTATAGAGTATCTTTGCAATGGTCACAGATCAGCTTAGAACATGAATGACAGAGAAAATGTCAGTGTGATAATGACCAACCTATATCAGTTATTTGGTCTCGTGTCCACCTGTGCCAAAATTCCTCTGAACTGTGAGATATATTCCAGAAATACAGGAGATTTAGGGAAAAGATACTACTCCACATGCCTAGAAAGGGAGAGAACATTTACAAAGGAATTTGCAAAAGTTAAGAATTACTGTTATTTCATTCTTCTGTTGAAGTGAGTTTCATTTCATTATTATTTTTCAATACATTTTACTCAGATCTATCAGGGAATCGTAAAACAAATACAGTAGATGATAATGGTGCTATTGTGGCATCAGGACCTTCCCTGACTGTGACTACTCCAATTGTTCTGTTTTGGCCCAGGCCCCCTTTCAGATATCAGAGAAAGCAGTAGTGATATGAGTACATAGACTTCTCCTTTTTTCCTTTGGCAGGAATTGTGGTGACAACATCAGCATCTGAGGTGACCATTGAATCTCAGCAGTGGAAAAAAGCATTGCACTCCCACCCTTGCAGTGAGTTGGGGACCTCCAGCCCCTCAAGAAGTTATTGAGCCTTTCCCACTTTGGCTTTTTACAGTTCTGGACACTGCACTCTAAGAAGGATGCCAAGAAATTTGCACTCCCACCCTTGCAGTGAGTTGGGGGCCTCCAGCATCTCAAGAAGTTATCGAGCCTATCCCACTTTGGCTTCTTACAGTTCTGGACACTGCACTCTTAAGAAGGATGCCAAGAAACCAGAACAAGTTCAGAGAAAGGCAACAAGGATGATCAAGGGACTAGAAACCAATCCCTATGGGGGAAAACTGAAAGAACTGGACAAGTTTAGCCTTGAAAAAAGAAGACCAATGATAGCACTTTTCAAATACTTTAAAGATAGTCATACACTAGAGGGGCAGGATCTGTTCTCAATCATCCCAGAGTGCAGGACATGTTACAATGGGCTCAAGTTACAGGAAGCCAAATTTCAGCTGAATATCAGGAAAAAATGTTCCCACCCACTTGTTTTTATTTATAAAATTGCCCCCATGCAAGTGTTGGAGGGAGGTTTCTAAAAAACAGCTGTGGGAGAGAACCTCTCTCACCTATCTATGCTGGGCCTGTCCAGACCAATGCCATGTACACTGATTTTCATTTTTAAAATACAAGGTCTTAAATAGGGACTGTTTTAACACTGCAGGTAGTTTAGTGTTTTTTAGTCCATTAATTCTGCTAATGCATAAAAGTGCCAGTAGAACAGGTTAAGAGAACATATTTTGAGCTGTGTGATAGCATGTTAAGGTTTCCAATTAACAGTTTAGTTTGATAATGATGATGTGGGTTTATGATGTCCCATGTCTCTTCAAATGTGACATCTCTATGATTTTTGGATGGGTAATACATCTCAATTGCTCTTTTGCTTATTTATTTTAATAATCCATTTAAATCCTTTCCCACTATCTCTTCACTTGGCTAATACCTGTTCATTGTACAAAAGTGTGATTTTAAACAAAGTTGCCAGACTATTCCTAGTTCACTGTAAAATCAAGTACGTATGTTGTTACTAGTTTAGAATTAATCACATGATGATGTAATTACATCATGAGGATGATGATTACCTTCCATGTAACAGAATCGAGTCTCTGGAAGCCTCTTCATCAGACGTCCCATAAAGAATTCGCTGCCAAAATCTTCAGCTCGAACAAAAGCTCCGTATTTTAATATCCCCACTTCATATGGTGTGAATTCCATCCATTCTGCAGGAAAATTTACATAGACACAAATGAAATCTTTTCCATGCAACTGCATTCAACATGATTCAAGCAGTCCATACAGTGGCAGTTCCCATTCCCTTCCTTTCTCCTTGCATCCGCTGTAGAGCATATCTGAGGGTACAGTACACGTGCAAAAATCCATTCTACCTCCCACTGGTAGATGGACACCATGAGATACACCAACTATGTTTTTTACAAAATAAATCCACACCATGAGATACACCAACTATGTTTTTTTAAAAAAAATAAATCCTGTTTGTTTATTTGTTTATTTATTTGCTTGCTTGCTATGTTTGTTTGTTTTTTTGGTGCTAGAGGCAGGGTTCTGATGCACCATTTTCTGGTGTACATATTAACATTCTGATCACAATGATGGTCCATTTTAAAGGTTTGGTCATGGGAACCAATGTCCAATGTACTAACTAGTCAGACTCTGTAGTCAATCTGATGCACATTTTCTTGGAGCAAAGTCCCACTGATTCAGTTTCTCTTATATAAGCAGCATGCTTTACTCCTTGGTGAGTAGATTTAGAATTGAAACCACAAGGCAAAAGTAGAAGTTATTGTTACAATATTTGTGTTGAGACAAAAAGTTCAGGTTCTCACCCATGATTCTCGCTCACTTCTTCTGCACCTCATCAGCAAGGATGGTAAGGAATTTCAGTTCTTGCATTGTTAAGAATGATATTTTCATGCAAAACGGATCCAGTTTTGGACAGAGCTGCCAGTTTAAAACTGCCAGGATTTGCATGAATGGGACAAGTTTTGTATGTGCAAAATTACACGAACTGCCCAAACTAGGCTGGCTTGATGCCTGACTTAAAAGATTTAAGCCCTAAATGGGTTCTTAACAGTCAGCAGTCTTTCTGTGGTTGCTCCTTGTATCTCTGCTTCTCAAAAGGAAGAACTTTAGGAACATTTAAGCTAACTACAAAGAGCTTGAGGGGACAAAAGGGCACTTCATCTCACTCCTGATTGGATGTAAGGACACTTGTTGGGCTTTAAAAATCCTTTGTTGGGGTTTCTTTCAAGACAACCTAAGCTGATGTGAAAAAGGAATTTATTAATATTATTTCCATCTTTAGATTGTGTGTTTTTATTAAATCTGTCTTTATTAAATTTCCACATAACTGCTCAAGGTGGCTTTGAAAACATTACCAATCTGTTGCCTGCACAGAAGCATCAGCAGCTGTGGCACTTCTTACCGCTGAAATCCATGGTGCTGTACTTCTCTTTCACATTGATTGCAGTGTAGATTGGTAAAGGATTCTGACCCTCATTCACTGCTTGCTGTTCATCTGAGAGTTTGTGGTTGTCTTTCTGTGTTGTTTTAAAGAAAAAAATAGATTGGCTAGGAATTAGTGAAAATGGTGAAAAATAATGCTTCATATATTCAATTATAGAGTATTGTATATAAGAGAGTAAGTGTAGCTTATTTTGGAATGGAGAATGTTGCAGGAAATGTTGACATGAAATGTTGACATAATATGAGTAATGCTGACATAGGGACTCCTATTGGATGTGTGCTGAGAAACTGTTGTGTCAGCTTTTCACCTTGGATCTGCGATACGAATAGATAAGCATTTTGCACCTGTTCACTATAAAATAAGTAATTACAAAAAATGACAAGCCTGTTCTCATGAATGTCCATGTCACTCTGCTTCTTCCCTGCCCACCAAGGGCTGGCATTTAAATGTCTTATTTATCTCATACTACGATGATGAGTTTTCTCCATGCCAATAAAGATTTGAACATATGCCATTTAATGGTCTAAATTAATACAAGAAGTAACAAAAATACTGTACCCCATCATTTAATACATATTCAATAATAAGCCCCCATAGATCTATACAAGATGTCTTGTGTCCTTCTTCTTTCCTTAGACGCAGTTGTCTGTTGTAATATTTCAGACGCTCTGCAGAAAAGCAGTCCAGTTTGCTTTTAGTTACATGCCTTTTAACCTCCTTAATTTGCTCATTCAGATCCTTTTTTGACCAATAAGCATCTCTGTACAAATTTCCCATAGTCCTGGGAAAGAAAAAAACAAGAATATCAGCACAGTTCTGTTAAATCAGACAGAGTCTGACATCATCTTTCCAGACAAATGCCCCAGAAAGCCCCCCCCCACACACACACACAAGCCCCATGGAAGCTCCCAGATGTTGTTGGACCTCAGCATTTATCATCTGCAGTTAACATAACCAATGATGAAATATGATGAGAATCATGCTCTAGCAACATCTGGAAAGCCATGAGCTTTTCCACTCCCAGCATATTATTTCTGATCAGGGAATTTCCACCAAGCCCTGACAGCTAATCACTATTGGCAGAAGGCTATGCTTGGTTTTAACTGCAGATGGGGATATTTGTATTCATATATCCCCACACAACTAGAGTTAACGAAGGTCTGCCCCCTAGGGCTGGACCATCCACTCATGCTTCCGACAGCAGTGATGGCCTCGCTCATCGTTCCAATCACTCCCAGAGCATCACTCTTTTCCTGCTTGGTTGGCCACTTAGCAGTCATGCAGGGAGACTCGTCCTTCCTCCCCTTGCCTGGAGTGACTAGCTGTGCAGATAGAGAGCAGTGCTCCGGGAGTGATTGGAAGGATGAGAAGAGGCCACAGCATGAGTGGACAGTCCAGCCCAAGGGGGGACCCTCATTAACTCTAGCTGAGTGGCGATATTTGTATACAAATACAAATACCCCCATCTCTAGTTTTAACTTATGAAGCCCCCCATGGCTTGGGACCTCAATACCTGTCAGAGCACCTTTCCCCAAGAACATAGACCCACTCCACCAGATCCTCACAGGTCATACTCATATGGATGACCACACCTAGGGAGGCCAGAAAGACTTCCACCAGAAACTGGGCCTTCTTGGTTGTGGCACCATCCCTTTGGAATGGGTTTCCAGTCAAGCTGTTCCTGCCTTCCCAACCTTCAAGAGACTGTTCAAGACAATGGTATTTATTTATTTATTTATTTATTTATTTATTTATTTATTTATTTATTTATTTATTTATTTATATCCCGCCCATCTGGTCTATACGAACACTTTACTGAAGCTCTTCATCACACCCTCTCATGAAGGCCTCAAAATTGTGTTGCTCGTCTATTTATTGTTTGATGCGGATTGAGCTGTAAATTTAAGCTGTTCATTGTTTTGATTTCCTTAATTATATTTATTTTTGTTATCATTATATTATATTATATTATATTATATTATATTATATTATTTGTATTGATTTGATTGTTAACTGCCCAGAGTAGTGCCTTCCACTAACTGGGCAGTATAAAAGTACAGTACAATCAATTAATGAGTCACTGTTGGGATTTCCGAGTGGCTGTGCTCATTGGTTTGGCATATACTTGGGGATCTTGGCAGAGATTTGTTACTTGTCATTTAGAAATGACTGAATGTTACACTGGTTGCCTTCTGCATGTGTAAGAAAACAACAGAATTTCAGCTAATATATTTAACTGTGACACACTGAATCCCATTATTAGTACTGTATCACTAGTGGGGGGGGGAACCACACTCTTTCAATAGTCTTAATCATCCATCATTTTATAGAGTTATTTACCCTCTCTAGGTCTAGCCCAGATGTTTTGTGAATTGAAACTTCAATTGTTCAGAGATAATCAGTGAATCTTAGAGAATTTTCATCTATATTTATATCTGTATATAACATATTACAATTTGACAAAGCTACTTTTTAAAACTATAACTCTCAGAATCTAATAGTGGTGATAATGTCTCAATACATGGGTGATTCTGGGAACTGGTGTCCAAAATCTAACATTTTCAGGTTCTGATTGCATAATATTCTTTATGTTTGGGATGGAGAAAATGTAATATTTTTTAAAATAGAATGTAGAAACACAACAAAATGGATATATTTGTCCATCCAGGTGTGAATCCTTCTGTATTAATTCAGTTATTGCTGAATTTGGCTGGTCACCTCTTCTTTAACACTTATATGGCAGACATGCACAACAT